AGAAAGATGAGACTGGGCTTGGATTTTACTGGTTGCCAGGTCTCACCTGGCTGTGTTCAAGTGTCCTCCTATAGGGATCCTGAAAATGGCTTTGTGTCCATTGCTTCCTGACCTCCCTCAGCTAGCTGTTCAGTGTTAGTAGCCCTGTTAGGATACACTGATGCTGTTGTCTTTCCTTAACAGAATTGAGAGAAAAATTGCAACAATCTCCTTAGAAAGCAAGTCTCCCCCGAAGACCTTGGATAATGGTGAGTACAATGTGTCTGGGACCCAGGTGTGTTTATATCAGCCTGGGATAGTCTGTACTTGCTTCCTGGGGAAGGTGGGCTCTGAGCTCCCTTCATGGGGTGGACAAGCCCTTTCTGAGTGGTCTCATGCCGCCCACCTCTCTGTCTCCCATCCACCTCAGTCCTGTCTCCACATCGTGCACACCTGTGGTGTGAATAGCAGGAGCACTGGGTCCCAGATCTTGTGCTCAGCGTCAAGAACAATCCGGGCAAGCACAGTGGCTTCACCTTTCTGCCTTTCCTGTCTGTCAGGTGGCAGCTTGGTGGGGAGGAAACTGGCACCTGCAAGTGAGCCTATCAACAGTAGCAAGTGGAAATCCACCTTTTCACCCATCTCCGACATCGGCCTGGCCAAGTCCACAGACAGCCCACTGCAAGCTAGCTCTGCCCTGAGCCAGAACTCATTGTTTTCGTTCCGGCCAGCCCTGGAAGAAGCCTCGGCGGCTGAGGCCAAGCTCACTGCACATCCAAGGAAAAGCTTTTCCAGCACCCTATTGGGTGCTGACGGACTCAGTCCAGGTGCCAACCCCCCCAATGGCCTGGCCTTCAGTGGGGGCCTGGCTGCAGACCTCAGTTTACACGGCTTCAATGACGGTGCTTCCCTTTCCCACAAGGTCCCTGAGGCAGCCAGCCTGAGCACCCCACTTAGCTTTCCTTCACAGCGGGGCAAGGAGGGCACCTCGGAAGCCAATCCCTTCCTCAGCAAGCGGCAGCTGGAAGGCCTGGGTGGCCTGAAGGGTGAGAGCAGTGCTGGCAAGGAGGTGGGAGAGCTGGGCCTGCCCCTGTGCGGGCCCACGGACAAAACAGCTCTACCACACAGCAGCAGGGCTAACAAGGGCCGGGACCGTGACCTTGACTTCAAGAGTGGCCACAACCTTTTCATCTCTGCTGCGGCGGTGCCTCCCAGTGGCCTTCTTGGTGGCTCTGGCCTCCCCACAGTGGCATCTTCTTCAGGCAGCACAGCCCCCACCACTCAGACACACCGCCCTTTCCTGAGCACCTTCACGCCCGGGCCGCAGTTCACCCTGGGCCCTATGTCCCTGCAGGCCAATCTCAGCTCAGTGGCCGGCTCATCTGTGCTGCAGTCCTTGTTCAGTTCTGTGCCGGCCGCTGCAGGCCTGGTACATGTGTCATCTGCTGCAACCAGACTGACCAACTCCCACGCCATGGGCAGCTTCTCCTCCGGGGTGGCTGGTGGAACTGTCGGAGGTAGGCAGAGGTAGTCCAGCTTCCAGAGGGAAGGGGGCTCTGGTTTCCAGACAGGTGGTGCCTCCCAGGAGCACTCAGTTCATCACAGGCTGCTTCACTGGTTCCTTACACAGCCCTCTAGAGGGGGTGAGGCCAAGCCACACAGTCCCCTGTACCCTTGTCGCCACATCCAAGTAGGCGATTGTTGTGAGGCTGGGACTGTCTTGAGTTAGCCTATTCAAGTTGTCTTATAACACGTGCCTCTCATTTCCAGAAGACCACGGTGCATATAATTAAGGCAGTCATTTTGCCTGGGTCTCGCCTGTTTGAACCCATGTGCCCTGCGGCAAGGCCATGGGAGCTGGCATTGGGCAAGGGAACCCTGACAGCGCCAGTGCAGATGCAGGACAGAGTGTAGCCCGGGCCAGGTGGGCTGCACTCTGGGCCTTGGCTGTGCTTCTGGCAGGGCGGAGTCGGGCAGGTGTGCCCTAGGGGCGGGGCCTCAGTCTGGCGCAGGTAAGTGTCCTGTGCTGAGCCCCACTGCTTGCCGCTTGTGCCTGCACATATAACTCGGAGCCGCCGCTGTCATTCTGCTTTTCCCTGTTTTGTGACTGTGCCTTTTCTTCGCTCGCCTAGCCCATGCCCGCCTGTTGAAGCTGAGTTTTCTCTCCTGTTTGCAGGTATCTTTAGCCACACGGTGCCCTCCGCCTCTGCTCATCCATTTGGAGTCAGTGTCAGCAGTGGGGCTGTGTGTAGCAGCGCCAAGCTGGGCCTGAGCCCGCTGCAGGCAGTGGCCAGCACCTCGGCCTCTTCCTTTCAGGCCGCGGCCTCCGTGGAGACTCGGCCGCCCCCTCCGCCCCTGCTTCCTCCTCAGCACCTGGGCCGGTCCCCTGCGGGGCCACCTGTCCTCCATGCCCCCCCTCCACCTAACGTCACCTTGCCTCCTCCCCCTGCGCGGCTGGCCTCTAACTCTGAACCCGTGCTCCTGCAGAACCTTGCTTCCCTCCCATCTAACAAAACTTTCTTAGCCCCCTCCTCTGCCGCCTCTCTGCAGCCTGCTAACGCAACTCTGTCTGTCAAGCTCGCCTCCCTCCCGCACAAGGTCTCCCATCCCTCATTCACGGTGCACCACCAGCCTCTGCCCCGGCTGGCCCTGGCACAGACAGCACCCGCCGTCCCGCAGGCCAGCTCTGTGGGTCCATCTGCTGTATGGGTTTCCCTTGGCATGCCGCCTCCCTATGCCGCGCACCTTTCGGGGGTTAAGCCCCGATAAAGACCTTGCTTAGCTAGCAGTTCATATTCTGTAAGGTAAGGCTAGAGCCACACGAGGTGGTTCCCTCGAGAAAGCAAACCATCCTTCCTTTTGCCCAGAAGACAGCCTGGCAAGGCTTGGTAGAGGTCTCTGGGGTTCAAGCTGCTGTGCCCGTCTTTCCAAAGGGGTAGAGCTGGGAAAGGGAGGCTCAGGGAAGCCCTCAGGGTCACAGACTTGAGCATTGGGGTGTGGGCCTCCTGAGTCCAGAGGATGCAAGCTCTGCGTGACAACTCTAGCTAGCACATAAAGGACAGTCCTGGTAGACCAGACACATTGTGGGCAGTCAGGGCTCATGTAGCCTCATTGCAGTGCCCAGTTGCCGTGCCACTGGAGAGCTTCTGTGTGATGAACACTCATAGGCCTAGGTCCTCAAGCTCTTGAAACTTCATAGGGTGTTGAGAGTTCCAGAGCTTTATGCCTATAATCCTAGCTTCTTAAGAGGCTGAGGTCTGAGGATCAGTGTTTGAAGCCAACTGGGGCAGAAAACTTCTCAGGACTCCTAGCTCCAATTAAGTAGCAAAAAGCTGGAAATGGAGATGAGGTCAAGTGGTAGAGCTCCAGCCTCAAGTGAAGAAGTTGAGCAAAAGCATGAGCCCCAAAACTGGTTCAAAAAAAAAAAGTTCTAAGCATGCAGTGCCCTTGTTATACAGTACGGTGAGAATGGGGGGTGGGGAATGCAGCCAGCTTTGGGGGGCAGGGGTGGACAACCTAAGAGGTCACCATACTCTGGCCTGAATGGGCCAAGTCTAAGGCTGCTTGACTAGGAAGTGGGGAAGAGCTTGCTAAGGTTGCTTGGGGGTCTAGGGTTGTAAGTGAGACCAATGTGCACCTTCCTTGGGTGAGAAAGTAAAAAGGCCTGAGGGCAGCTTGCCTGGCTTATTATTCAGGGAAGGAAATGTTTTAGTGAAGTTGTGCCTTCCAAGTGAGGCATCCATGGCGGAAAGTCCAGGGGCTAAGGCCATGATGTCCTTTTCTTGGGTATCTGTAAACTTCTAGACAGAAGTGTGGTCATAGGGGTGGTAACAGCCTCTAGACAGGCTGTAGCTACCCTACTTTTGTGTTCTCAGAGGGTGACTGGTGGAAGTAGGCCAGCGGCTGGCTGCAGTGGCTCCAGGCAGTGTTTGCTAGCAGGCAATACTTGTCTGTCCTGTCCCTGCCTTCACTCTGTCTGCCTGGGTGTGTTTGTAGATCTTTATTCTACCTGAGTGAGTGCTGGGCCCCTCCAGCGGGCTGCTAAGCAGCTGCTCTCCCTCTCCCTATGCCCCTGCAGGTAACTAGGACTTCTACCTCAACCGTGCGACCTATGCAAGGACGGTGTGGACCAACGCCTGCTGCCTGGTGCTGCCAGCTTGCTGGGCTCCACCCAGAGGGCGGAGACAGGAGAGGACAGGAGCTCCACTGTGAATCGGTGGCACCCGCAGGAGGTGCTGGGGCTGGTCCAGTTTGTACTGTCGATAGTTTTAGATAAAGTATTTATCATTTTTTTAAAAGTATAAACAATTCTGACTTATTTTATTCCATCTAAGTCGTTAAAGGCAACCTATTGAGAAATGTCTATATAAGAGAGAATCTATATAAAGACTCGAACTTGCAGGGCTGGCCCACCAGCGGAGACGCCGACTGCCTGCCTGCTCCGGTGCTATCTCACCACCAGGCCCGCACCAGCCTCCACCTTGGTGCTGCCCTGGACATTGACCAACGCCAAAACCAGTTCTCAGAAGCGCCGGCTGCTTGTTAACTGTACCAAAGGCATGCCCAACTCTGGGGTTTTTTCATAGGGTCCTTCAGAGGATGCCAGAGCTTACCTTCAGACCTCCCCACCCTCCCACCCTTACCCCTCTGTCAACCTTGCCCCGTCACTGTGAATGCTCCAGCTGGTAACTAGCTAGCTAGGGCTGTGCCTTTGGCATATGAGCAGGGCTGGCAGGTGCTGGGGTGGACTGGGACCTTGGTTTGGTGCAGCAGGCGGCATTTCCAGCTGTTCTGAGTGGTGCTGCACACATGGCTTTGTACTTGATTCCTGGAGGCTGGTTTGGCTTGTTTGACAAGTGCATTTACTTTTGTATTCCTTTGCTTTTTCTGACTTGTGGCAAGCTGGCTGGGTGACATGGGGCAGGCCCGCCGTGGGTTCCTTGGTGTTTTGTGTATAGGAGAGAGTCACACTGATGGGTGACAGTATTTTATAGAGATGTGATGAAAATTTATAAATTTCATAGACTTGACTGCATTTATTTTTAGATTGTATAATGCACAATGAACTTAAAAATGAAAGTGAAGGGGGGAAATTATTTATTTGAAGGCACAAAAATGGTTACCTGCCCTGGGGCTGGGGACCCTGCAGGAAACATGGCCCACCGTGTCCTCTGGTCAGCTCCAGCTTGCCACTGCTCCTCTAGCTGCTGTGGATGCTCTTAGCTAGGCATCCTCAACCCCCAAAATTGGCATCTTTAGCCTGGGGGCAGATGTGTTAGATGTAGCCACAGACTGGCCAGGGCACAGCAAGAGCAGGACTTCCTGGGCTTGCTTATAAGCCTACCCTGGTTTTGACCTAGATCTGACTCAGAAGCCTGAGCCTTGGCTTCTAGTTGAGAAGGGAGGGCCTAAAAGCATCAGGCCTATCTCTGCACTCAGCCCCAGGCAGGGGGTCCCCTTAAGGAATCCTGTGTATCAGGTCTAACCCACCCTGACTGGAGCCCCGAAGATGGTGCTGGTGACTCCTCCCCTTCTCCTCCTCATTCAGTGTTGGTGCTCTTCTGCTGGGCCTATAGGTGCTGTGCCTCATTCCCTTGGACCCTGGGGGTGGAGTGGGGAGAAGGGCCCTCTAGGACACTTCAGGGTGATAGTAGCAAAGCTGGCACATAATCCCTGATTTGGAAGAAAACACTCTTTTAACACTTGTGTGTTCATGCCTGCCTGCCCACCCAGGCAGCCACAGCTCGGTGCACTTGGGCCATGCTACTGCATGGATTCCTGCTGACAGGCCGTATTTAATAAATATCTGTCCTGTGACCTGATCTACATACTTGAGTGCTGGGAGACAAAAGCTTTGTTTGGGGCGTGTGCCCAACACAGTCAGTGCTGGGTGGCAGAGTACCCAGCCCCCACCATGAATACATGTCCCCACTTTGAGCCACCAGAGGGACAGACACTGGCTCTGGCTCCAACAGGCCCCTTGCTCCCTGCACAGATACCCATTGACTTAAGTGTTTTCCTGCAACTGGGTGTGTTGGAGCCTGATGTCATTTTGGTGGTCCAGGCCATTTGGATTGAGGGCATGCTGCTGTGGACCTAGTCTCCCTGTGGCTCTTGCCCAGGAACTGACCAAGAAATTGTAGAGATTAGGACAATATATCCCCACACACAGATCTGGGAGGCGCCCTGCTAACTAGCAGGAACTGGCTCTCATGTCTTTATGCTATACCACTGGTAGAGACTAAAACTCCCTCATTCCTCTGTTCTTCCCGCCCCCCCCTACTCCATTTATAAGTCCAGTACCACACAGCATTCCTCCCTCTGGGCCTTCATCTGTAACTTGGCACAGCTCTGCTTCCTCCTGTAGTGAGCTCTGTACTTAACGGGTGTCCCACTGCATTGTTTTTGCCTCTAGGCACTGTAATAAAATCAATCTTCACTTGAACCTGGTCTGGATTACAACGTTTCTTCTATGGGCATTCATTGACATGGGAGTTGACAGTGGCAGAGACTCCCAACTCAGGGAGAGTCAGCCCTCTTAGAACCACATGTAATGGACCCAAGCCTTCCAGATGAACAAAACCCAGGGACCCAGCCACAGCAGTAGAACTGCTGGGGTCCCTTTAGAATTTCTACCACAATAGGAATGCTGCCCTCATCTGTGAGCTCTCTAGCCTAGCCTTTCCTAACTTAGGGTCCAAGGTCTCCTCTCAGGGTCAGTAGTCCAACCCTGCTTGGGTAAAACAAAGGATGTGTGCTCAGGTGCCTCAGCTGCCTGCATCCTCTTCCTCACTCCACCACCATTTAATTGGAAAAGAGGTACCTTTATTGAACAGAGTAAGTGAATTGGGAGGACCAAGGCCACCCCCATCAGCAGGAGTCGAGTTCACAGCTGGTCGAGAGAGACCCCCCCTCACTATTCACAGCTTCACCTAACTATACATTCAGCTGGTACAGGGCAGGAGAGCTGCCACAATCAGGTGTTCTCAATGGATGCACCTGAGCAGGTGGCAGCAGCAGCACATACACAGAAATGCCAGACCTGTCAGGTGGGCTCCAAGGCACCAGGGCAGGGGTGCTTGCTAAGCTGTTTCTCTTAAACCCTATAGCCCCTGTTCGCCCCCACTCAGCCCTCGAACAACTCCCATCACAGACCCAGGCATCCAGAAATCCAAGGCAGAGGCCTTGGTGCAAGGTCAGTCCAGTGCATCTAGCCTGGAGCCAATGCAGGACCACCCGTCCACTGGTGTGCCAGTCAGCTGGAACCTGGCCTCCTCGGATATGCCGAACTGCTCCAGTGGATCCTGTGGAAGTGGACAGGTGGCATTAACTAGGAATAAGAAGGCTGCCCTTCTTACCTCCAGCCTTGCACATACCTTGCCTGTCATCTTCTGGATCTCATTCCTGTAGAAGATGAGGCTTTTCCGCATATACTCATAACTGGGGAAGACAACGGTGCTTATTCGTTTGTTGTGTCAGGTTCCCAATTCCACCCTCTCATAGCTTTTGTGCCCTACCCTCCAGGCTGTCCGAGCCCCACCTGGCCCGCCGCAGGGCCTCCACCCATGCCTGACACTGCTCCTGACTGCAGCACTCAAAGTGGTACTTCCTCTCTGGGTCTTCCAAAAAGCCTGCAAAGGAGAATGGGGAAGAGGGAGGGAGTTGCTTCTGCTCTCTGACCATTTGGTCCCCACCCTGCTGGCCAGTACCAATATCCTCTTTCCAGGCCCCAAAACTGCTCCTCCTCTGGCTCCCTCACAGGCTCATCTGCACCACACCGCCACACCTTAGAACCTGAGGGCAGCCTGATGTGAAGCAGGGCTTTTCGACATAGAATTAAGATGAGATCCTTGGGGAGGACACTGGACTGTTGTGTTTATATAGGAGAAACATGCAAACAACCATGTGAGAATGCTGTGTGGAGATGAAGGCAGAGGTGGGGGTGGGTGAAACCTCAAGCTAAGAAACTAATATGGGGGCTAGGTTTGGGATAGAGTTCACCTTGACTGGAGTCACACTTGCCCACACCTTGTCTCTGGCCTCCAGAATCTAGAGACTTTCTGATATTTAAGCCACTGAAGTTGCAATACCGAATCTTTAATGGCGGCCCTAAAAGACGGGCTGAGACCTCATCTACCCTGGTAGAACATTCCTAGTCGCCAGCATTCGGGGCTGGCACTGGAGGTGGGAAGAAATGAACCACCAGGCAAGGCCCTCTCACATCCAAAGGACCGAAAACGTCCTGGTGCTATTTTTGAGTGACAGCGGAGGCAGATGTACCCGAAGTTGAAGAGCCTGAGAATGACAGCTAAGACAGGTGTGCCGGGCAGAGGAGACGAGAACCTGACCTTGACCCGCCCGTAGCCAGTCCAGGGGCTCCCGTTCGAGGGGAGGGAAGGAGGGAAGTCTGGATCCACTCACTGATGGAGAAGGCGCTGGGCTCCTCCTGGGACACTCGGCAGCGCTCCAGCAGCAGGGCTCCGAGGGGCTACACAAGACAACGGCCATGAGCATCGGCCGCTGGCCCACGCAAGGCCCCTCTCGCGCTTCCCAAGACCCCTACCTACCTCGGCCTCGTCTGTGCGGAAGTAGAAGAGAAAGTTGACCACCAGCTTCACCAACCGCCTCTTGGCTACTGCAGGCACAGGGCGGGGTCAGCGTGGTGGCGGGACCCCCCGCCCGCCCCGGAGCCCCAGCCCCGGCCGCCGGCCGGCTCACCGCTGCCTTTCTTGGGGCCCCGCATGCCCAGCTCCGCCGCCATTTCTGCTGGCTGCCGGGATAGTGCTCGCAGTTCCTTTTCGTTATAGCGCATCGCGCGGCCCGGGTTCTGGAACCAGAAAACACAGGGCGCGGCCGCTGAGCCCCCCCACCCCTAGCCCCAGCCCCCGCCCCCACGCTCGTAACGCAGTCTGCGCCACAAAGGTCTCAGAGACTCATCCCGGAAGTACCGCCAGGGGTTACTGCGCCTGCGCGCTGCAGGCCGGCCATTCCCGCCTTGTTGCCGGGAGTCCGCCGGGTGAAGGCGCATTTCCGGATCCGGCCGGGGCTCGCATCCTCCATCCACTTCCTGCTCTTAAACATTCATCCGGGCCACTGGGCGGGCGGGGCATGCGCACACCAGAAGTTCCGCCTCCATTTGACCCGGAATTGGTTCTTTCGCCCGTAGTACGCCTGCGCAAAGCCAAGTCCTGGTGGTCGCTGAGAAGGCCTTGGCTGTTTGAGGCCTTTGGCCCGGGTGAGAGACGTCGGAGACTGGGGCTAGCAAACTGCTTGGGGTAGTGGGGATGGGGGTGGAGGTGGGTGGCGGCGGGGAATCTCGGGGATCGCTGGAAGGGGGCGGGTTTGGGAGCGTGGTGCCTGCGGCGGCCTGCACTAACACCGCCAGAACCCGTTCTTTCGAGGGTGGGCGGGCCCGCGCACTCCTGGGAGGGCTTGTGGGGTCGAGGCAGGAATTCCCACTTTGGAGGTCGGTCTAAGGCGCCTCTCGGTCCGTCCCCCCCTTTGGCTCCGCAGCATTTCCTGGAGGTTTTCCCGGGCTTTGCGCGGGGGGGGGGGGCGGTTGAGGGTCCTCTTGGCGGGTCCCTTAACCCAGATAAGCGCCTCTATTCCTTTAACTGTAAAACGGCCAAGGCGACACCCAAAACGTTCTATGGTTCCGTTTTGCCTAGGGCGCCCCAAGAAAGCGGGCTTGAATCACTTGGACCGAGGCGCCTGCCCACCTAGCTTATAGAACCAGCACAGAACTGCTAGGGGCTTCGAAAAATAATCGTCCGATAGGTTTGACATAGTATTTCCACGAAAAACTAATTTTATCTGTGCTCCCTGGTCCGGAAGCCATCTAGTCTTGTCTTTAAGCCATTTGCTTCTGGTTTTAGGCATCTGTTGACTTCTTGTGCATAGTTGATAAGGTCTCCTGCTCCCTCTTCCTCTCCCTTATTCACCTTCATGTTCATCAAACCTTTGATTTTATGTCTAAGATTGGAAATATACTGCTAAACCAAGTAATGTGATCAGAGGGTAGGTTATCATTGTACTACACATTTTTAAAATTAATTATTTTCTTGGCCAGTTCTGGGGGTTGAACTCAAGGCATGAGTGCTGTCCTTAATCCTTATTTCCTCAATTCTAGCCCTTTTCCACTTGAGCCACAGCTCCACTTGTGTCTTTTTTTTTTTTTTTTTTTTTTTTTGGGTCCGGTCGTGGGGCCTGAACTCTGGGCCTGGGTGCTGTCCCTCAGCTCTTCAGCTCAAGGCTAGCGCTCTACCACTTGAGCCACAGCGCCACTTCCGGCTTTTTTCTTTTTGCTTATGTGGTGCTGAGGAATCGAACCCAGGGCCTCAGGCATGCAAGGCAAGCGCTCTACCACTGAGCCACCTTCCCAGCCCTTGTGTCTTTTTTTTTGAGTAGTTTCCCTCTGCCCAGAGCTGAGGACTGAACGCAAAACCTTGCACTTGCCAGGCAAGTGTGCTTCCACTGAGCTAAATCCCCAACCCCCTTTTTGGATAGTTAATTGGAGCAAAGAGGCTCACTGTCTTTCCTACCCTAGGCAGTTTCAACCATGATCCTTAGATCTCAGCCTCCTGAGTAGTTAGGATTACAGGTGTGAGTCATAAGTGCCCAGCATTTGTACTTTTTGGGAGGAGGGGGGAGAGTTGTGAGGCTTAAACTCTGAACCTGGGCATTGTCCCTGAGCTCTTAAGCTCAAAGCAAATGCTTTAACACTTGTTCCACAGTGCCACTTCTGGCTTTTTTTGCTTATGCGGTGCTGAGGAATCGAACCCAGGGCCTCAGGCATGCAAAGCAAGCACTCTACCACTGAGCCATCTTCCCAGCCCCCCCTGGCTGGCTTTTAACCACTATTCTCAGGTCTCAGCCTCCTGAGTTACTAGGATTACAGGTGTGAGCCTCTGGCCCCTGGCTTATACTATTTTTTTTTTTAATTTAGGTTTTTTAGGGTTCAGTTTTGTTTTAGGTTGATTTAAAACTCAATTGTTGGGCTGGGAATGTGGCTTAAAGGTAGAGTGCTGGCTGGGAAGGTGGCTCAGTGGTAGGGTGCTTGCCTTGCATGCATGAGGCCCTGGGTTCGAGTCCTCAGTACCACATAAGCAGAAAAAGCCAGAAGTGGTGCTGTGGCTCAAGTGGTGGAACGCTAGCCTTGAGCTGAAGAGCTGGGGGACAGTGCCCAGGCCCAGAGTTCAGGCCCATGACTGACCGGGGAAAAAAAAAAGGTAGAGTGCTTACCTAGTGTGCATGAAGCCCTGGGTTCAATTCCTCAATACTACATACACAGAAAAAGCCAGAGTGGCGGTGTGGCTCAAGTGGTAGAGTGCTAGCCTTGAGGAAAAGAAGCTCAGGGACAGTGCCCAGGCTCTGAGTCGTGTCACAGACTTCCTTGCCCTAGCTCTTCTCTTGCATTTCGTGGTTTAGTTTGTTCTGTTTTGTCAGTCATGGGGCTTGAACTCTGGGCCTGAGCACTGTCCCTGAACTCTTCAGCTCAAGGCAAGCACTCTACCACTTGAGTGCCACTTCCGGTTTTCTGATGGTTTATTGAAGATAAAAGAGTTTCATGGACTTTCCTGCACGAGCTGGGTTTGAAAGGTTTGATCCTGGGATGTTAGCCTCCTGAGAAGCTAGGATTACAGGAGTAAGCCACTGGGGCCCAACTTAGTCATTTGCATTTTGTGTAGGTGGGACTGACTGTTTCTGTTCAAGGATGCTAAGCTGCTGCTTTCCTGGGCAGTCTTCTGTCTTCTGTTTTTAAGGAAGCCAATGCATTGTGGTCTTTTGTTTTGTTGCTGTGTTGTTTTGTTTTTTGCCAGTCCTAGGACTTGAACTCAGGGCCTGGGTTCCAGGGCACTATCCCTGAACTTCTTTTGCTCAAAGCTAGCATTCTACCACTTGAGCCACAGCATCACTTCTGGCTTTTTCTGTTTATGTGGTACTGAGGGATTGAACCCAGTACTTCATGCATGCTAGGTAAGCACTCTACCACTAAGCCACATTCCCAGCCCTAGCCAATGCATTATGTCAGAGCATGTCTTAAACTTGGTAGCTCTTGTAGAAGTAGCTGACTTTCTAGTTTTGAGTTCTTTGTTATCTGAACATGGATTTATTTAGAAATCTGGCTGGGTATAAAATGAGTCCATAGGCTGGTTCTTCCTGAGGTCCTAGGGACAATCAGTATCCTACCTGTCCCAGCTTCCAGAGGGCCATAGCCCTCAGCTCAAGGCTCCTTTCTCCTCATTGAGAGTAGCAGCACAGTTTCTCCCAATCTGGCGTAGGGCCCTGTGATGATGACATTGGGCACAGATAATCACCATGTCAAAATTCTTGATCACATCTGTACATTATTTTAGTCATAGGATTTTTGTTTTATGTCATCACTGTAGCTTGAAATCAGGGCCTTGCATTCAGCTCATACTTGGTATTTTACAGTTTGAGCTACCCATTGGAGATGGAATCTCAAGACTTTTCTGCTTGGATAGGTTTCAGACAGTTCCTTTGGTTCTCAGCCTCCTAAGTAGCTAGGATTATAGGCATGAGCCAGCAGCACCTGGCTGTTAACAGGTTTTGGGAAAGAAGACAAAGATGTCTTAAGTAGCTGTCCTTCACTTGATCTGGGCCCTGCCTCTGAGCCCCCTAGGTTTTAAACCAAGCACCTGGGTCAGATGTTAAAGATAAAAGTCCACAGTGTTGGGTGGTCATGGAATGCTTCTGGGAGGTTGGGTTTGATTGAGCCTGAGAGAATGTGGGAGGAAAGAACCCAGAGGCATGGAAAAGATTTTGAAGGGTTCAGGAAAGCCTTCTTGGGCTACATATGGTCTCTTAGCGGGGAGGGGGATTTTTGCTGGTTAAGTGAAGATAAAAGTCTCAAGATTTGTTGTCAGAATCTCAGTCATCAGATCCCAACCAGTAGCTAGGACTATAGGTGTAAGCCACTTGTATCCAGCTACAAATGACTCTTGTTTGTCAGACAGTGGAGGTCCAAACATGGATATCTTCCTGACCTTCAGCAAGTATATAGCAGTCTAGAAAAATATGTCAGATTGTGGAACATGTCATCTAAGAAGTGAATTTGGAGCAGGAGGCAATCTAGGATCCATCTAGGAAGGCTTCCTGGAAGTGGTGAAATTTGTTGGCAAGAACTGGCCTCACCTTCCCTGTTTGTGTCTTGTCCTTTCTGATCTCAGGCTTTTCATTTTATGACCTGCAGTAACTGCCTTCTTTCCATGGTCTCTTAGGAATCATTAAGTATCTAGATTGGAGTTTCTGCAGATAAGTGCCAGTATCCTTGTTTCTGTGTCTGGCCTGCAATAGGCCTTGGGGATTGGTTAAACTTCAGCAAGTACAGTGTGGATCCATGGATGGCCTCATAATTGCCTCATGCCTGGCCACTCCATGGTCCTTACTGCTCTTTCTCTTTTTTATTTCTACAGGTTTCTCCCCTGTCTCCTAAAGCCCTAAAGCCTTCACCATGGACTTCCAGCATAGACCCGGGGGTAAGACTGGCAGTGGAGGTGTTGCCTCCTCTTCTGAGAGCAACAGGGACCGGCGGGAGCGCCTGCGACAGCTAGCCTTAGAAACAATCGACATCAACAAGGTGAGCTAGGCCTCTTTTTCTCTTCTCTCTTCTTGCTGGGGATGCTCCCACTGGGCCACAGCCCCAGGTCTTAGAAGCATCGAAACTAGTACCATTAGGGAGAGCCAGGCTCCCCCCAGGCTTGACTTTGTCTGGGCATGGGGTTTAGGGACTAGGCAGGTCCCAGAGGGACCTGACCCTAGGACCATATCTTGTATTAACGAGGATTTATTCCCTTCCCAGGACCCATATTTTATGAAAAACCACTTGGGATCTTATGAATGTAAGCTTTGCCTTACACTTCACAACAATGAGGTGAGTTCTTAGCTTTACTATTTGAAGGGCCTAGCCCAGGTTTACTGACCTGTCACCAGCTCTGCTAACCTGCTTCCTGATCAGCCAGGGATTGTAGGCCATCCCATGCAGAAGGCCCTCTGGGTC